TGTCGGTATTCCTGTTTAATTAAACGAGAGAATATCATGAATGAGCTAGTTAATATCAGTAGGAGGTGTATCTCCTCTTTAATAATGCATAAAGAATCGTTTATTCATTTTTAGAATCTAAATTCGAGTCTGATGTGTTACTGACAAGTTTTTTGTTGATAAAAGAATTTATTAATTGTTCCTAAAGAGAGAATCAATTGATATTAAAAATTGAAACTACTAGGTAAAATAAAAAGGAAAAACGTAGAGAAATTTGAGAATCCCCTACACCACTTACTGACACTCTAATTTTCATTCAATGAATAATATTCCACTTGGTAAAAAGTAATAACATTCAATCAAAATAAAAGTCGATTGCTTCAATTTCATTCACAAACGATTTCCGCATTTATCAATTCAATTTGTTAATCTAATGTATTCAATTCGGAATATAGTATAGAATATACTTTACCTCAAAAAGCCATTGAAGAGGACCTTCAGTTTTCAGCATATTGATGCACTGGAACATGAGGGAAACGATATCGTCGATATGATCCATGCCCTCCTCTGTTAAATGAACAGTGACAGTGAAAGAATTCACTCCACCTCCGGCAGCTTGTTTGTTTTCAAAAGTTAGAAAAGTCGACCAGTCCTTTTTCTTCAGGGCTGATAGAAACCAACCATCACCTGGGTGACCAAGGAGATGAGAGACGTACTCTACAGGCTAAACACAAACCAATATTCATTATTAATACGAGAATAAAAATCGAATAATATCGTTAATAGTTCTAAATTGGGATAAGTGAATTTTTTCGAGACCAGCTTTTACCCGATTTTTGAATATTGAAAGAAGATAATGATTTTCTCAGAAATATCTTTTTTGTAGCTCCCATCGTTTTATATAAAAAATGTTTTTACGAAAGGCTCAATATGTTCCTTCGCTACCGAGATATTCGCTAAAAACTGGCTTTGAAAAAATACACTTATCCTAATTTAACACTTCGCTATTAAATGAGGCATTTCAATAATTTCAGTCATTAATCATTCGGCGGAATATTTTCGAGGGAATTTTTGGACTTACATCAAATTTATAGTGCTCTCGTACGTCAGGAAGTGGGAAAATAATTTCCATTGCTCTCAAGTCCTCGATTGGAACTATGAACCATTTATGCCCATAATGATTCTCGTTGAATGGACGATCTCGCCACTCCGGGGCATCGACTCCTTTATTCGGCACTTCAACGAACATCTTCACTATCATCTCCTCTAGATCGTTTAAACTCTCTATTGAAAAATCATTGAGATTAATGATTTCGATTAATCGATTGATTCAACGAAAAGGAAAACATATTTCTAAAAAAAATATTCCAAAAAAGTTTTCTATAATCTTAGAGATATTTCCAAAAAATCGATTGA